ATTTATTTTACAGCCCTCAGCACAGTGGTCCCCAGGCACAGGCAGGCAAAGCACGAACCCGAGGGAAGACCCTGGAGCCCCGGGGGAATTTTTCAACTCCTTTCAAAGAGCCAAAAAACCACCCTGCATCACAAGGAAAGGAGAACCGGAGAGAAGGAACGCTGCACCCAAGCTTCAACATTTGGGGCAGAAATTAAAGGATAAGCTAATGGAAAGGGCTCTTAAGAAGAGGATAAGAAGGTTCAGAAGTATCGGGCGAGGATGTGCACACGCGGTTTGGATGAACCCTATTAGCCTCTTGCCTTTAGTGCTTCTGAAAATCAAAGTACATGAATAAGCTGCCTTCCCATCCTCGAAAATTTGTCAAACACTTGCTGGGTTTTATATTCCTTTTTAATGAAGCATTTTGAAGAACTTAAGCCACAGAGTATCACAGAAATACCCAGAACTTCTGATAATATCCTACCATAAATTAAACTCATACTTTCCTGGAAATCAGTGTGGGGAGTGGGATAGAACAAGGTCTGGTAGCATAAAATTTTCATGAGAGTTGATAAAATACTGTGCAAACTTCTGTAGAGCCCAAGCAATAAATTCAAATCCCAACTTGAAACGCTGCCTACTGTACCCATCCTGCCTCTTTTTTGTGGCTGAAAACTTCAATTAAATCAAACCAAAGCTGGTTGTATTATGTGCACGATTGAAAAAAAGCCATTGGGCTGAAAACGAGCAGGAGAAAAGTCGGAGAAAAGCCCATCCTGCTTTACCACGCAGGTCACCCTCTGCTACACAAAGTGAATTTTCAGTTATTTCAGTTGTTGAAAGACTCTAAAATGCCTGTTCAGAAACCATTTGTTCAACAGACTCCCCTCTCTTCAAACAGGAATTTTTTCTCAGCTCTGCTGGCATCAGCATCCACAGCTCGTTAGTTGTTTTGCATCTTGTTCTAGATGCATTTTGTTGCCATTTTAGCATCCCTGGTGGAAGATGCCCTCTTGCAGCCCAGGGCTAAGCTGCACAGCCTGGATATTGCCCGTGCGTTGAGAGGAAGCCCAGGTGAGAAGTGGTCTAATATTTATTACAATGAACCGCGGTTCTGAATAACACAGTATCCATCAACATCTGCTGTGTCCTTCGTTAAGAACCCAGAAATTGGCCAAATGTCTGAGTTGATTTCCTTTACTTGCTTTAGATGGCAACTTCTTTCAAGTAGCGTCTTAAACGTAGACGTCCATCAGGATGAAACCAGTGCCCATTCTTCACAGACCGTGTGCCTAAAAAGGTTAAACTCTTTTTTAGTGTTTTCAAGAAGCGCGTGAAACTCTTAGCCCAGAGGTGACACTATTAAACACACACCATGAGGAAATCAAGACCCAGAAGATTGTAAAAGACAGTTTAAGGAAAACGTGCTACTGCCATATCGCTTATGTTGGCAAACAATGTATTGGTGGAATCTGAGCCATCCTCTCCTCTCCTGTCCTCCAAACCTCACCTGAACACCACAGTTCTTCACACGCTGCATCAGCGCTGACATTTACTTTTTGGAGAGAAAAAATCACGATGGCAACAGTCGAGGTGTTCGAATCCCATGGAATTTGGCTGCCATCGGGCTCCTGTTCCATGGCACATGACGGGGATCATCTCTGGCTTACAGCAACCCCCAGCTGCATCAGGTCCCGTCGGCTGAAAACGGTCGAAGCAAAAATCGCGTTCCCCATCCTATGAAAAACGCTCCGCTGGCAGGAACACTCGTCATGCTCCCAGTCGCTCCCTCTGGCTAAAAGAACTGATTTAAGAAAAAATAGCAGGGAAGGTCTCCCATTTAGTTTATCTGCACTGGATTCTGGAAGACTGGGAACAAATCAGTGGGCTGTAACACGTCCCCTCCCAGTACAGGGCCAGGAATTGCTTCACTATTTCATGTCAGAGCCAAGACTAGAGCCAGACTTCTCAGCCTGGAGAAAAGGCGGCTCCAGAGAGCCCTTCCAGCACCTTCCAGTACCTAAAAGGGCTACAGGAAAGCTGGAGAGGGGCTTTGGACAAGGGCGTGTAGTGACAGGACATGGGGCAATGGCTTTAAACTGACAGAGGGGAGATCTGGATGAGACCTAAGGAAGAAATTCTTCCCTCTGAGGGTGCTGAGGCACTGGAAGAGGTTGCCCAGAGAAGCTGTGGCTGCCCCATCCCTGGAAGTGTTCAAGGCCAGGTTGGATGAGGCTTTGAGCAACCTGGTGTAGTGGAAGGTGTCCCTGCCCATGGCAGGGGGGTTGGAACTGGATGATCTTGAAGGTCCCTTCCAACCCATTCTGGGATTCTATGATATCAACACTAAACCCAAGTTTAGGATTTCCAGTTGGAACAAAGAGTTGCTGATTAGAACAGACCAGATCGATGCAACTTCACAGTAATATCTGGAACGTGTAGTATTTGGGGGAAAAAAAACCCTCTCACATATTCAATGAAATGAAAATATTTCCAGATAGTGGTGGTTTGGGTTTGGATCGATGCAACTTCACAGTAATATCTGGAATGTGTAGTATTTGGGGGAAAAAAAAACCCTCTCACATATTCAACGAAATCAAAATATTTCCAGATAGTGGTGGTTTGGGTTTTTCACATCCTCTTCTTCTCCCTTGCTTTTTAAAAATAGCGCAGCACCTCAACTAGGCTCAGAAACAATTCCAAAAAATTGAAATGCTGCTGCTATTCTCATGCAACCTTCACCAAAAAGAGGCGGGGCGACAAGAATAAACAGAAGAAAGAAAATATGTAGTGCTACATGGTTTTTAAAAGTGTGTCTGGAAAACAATTTGATTCTGTTCCTACAATAAAGTTTAATGTTTTGGATGCAATCACTGCAAATTATGAAGCCTTGGCAAGCTGCTCCCGTCAAACATATGGAAATTTTGTCTGTCAAACTTTGCTTTCTTCACTTACTGCCTGCTAATACATTTTTAGAACTGCCTCACCAGCCAGTATGATTTCACTACAGACTGGGATCCAAAGCGACACAAACACACTTTTTTCTTCCACTCCAGGGCTCGTGCATTTGGTAGAAATCCCAGCCAGGCTCTAACAGGTCACGCTTGCGGTGCCGGGTGAAAACTCAACCTGGCACCCTCCAGCCCCTCATTTCCTTACCTGAGGACGGTGGGCACTTGCTCAAAAACGCCCCAGAGAAAAACAAAGTTTAATGTACCACCAACAGAAACCCCTCTCCCTATGCACAGCGGAGCCCAAACTAGTCTGATGGACCGGAGCAAAATCCCAAACAAGCTTTTTGGGCCATTGACTCATCTGTGCAATGGCAGACGATGGGGATGAAGCATGAACCTGGGGATCTGCTGCAGATGCAGGGCCGTCACGGCGATCGCTTGAGGATGCAGCCAAAGACTGTGCTCGGATTAAAAGGGGGATGGAAGTGGGAGGGTGGGCTGAAACGCCAAGGAGATGGGGTGAATCTAGCTGGAGTTGCCTGGAAATAAACAAAATACTAAAATGTCAGCCCTGGCTCCTCTTCTCATCTCTAATGTCTTTTTTTTTTTGTGGAATTTGCCAGGAAGAACCACAAAAATTTCCCCTTTCAAAAGGCCTTTCAGAAGTCAAAGGGCTGCCTGAATACCGGCATTGTGAGCGCCGTAAGAGGGACGTGTCGGGATGGGGCTCCATATGCTCCTTCCCTAGTGGCATCCTGCAAACTGCTGAGTGGGGGCTGTAATCCTTTCATTTTTGTTCAAAAAATAGAAGGAAAAAATAGCAGCGCATCAGAATTTCTCATTTTTTAGAAACTATCGAAGTATTAGCCTCGCAGTGCTCAGAGACTGACAGGGGGCTGGTAGGGGAGCAACCAGGGAGAGGAATTTGGGGATCTTTTGCAAGAATATCCATATGGGATACAGGGGTAGATGTATAGAGTCAGTGCCAGGCTGTCCATAGGCACACTCAGTCCAGTCCTGCCACTACGGCTGCCAGGCTCAGGGACGGCAGCACCTCTGGCAAGCTGAACACGGAGGAGATGGCCATCACCCCGCCTCGGGGCGCAGAGCCGCTCTGGGAGGCGGTGTGGAGGCTGAAATCCTGCAACCCTCGTTTTAATGTACAATTTACCTATTTTTGCTCTTGAGAAGTGAAGCTGCTCAGATGACGGACCAACTCAGTAAGACGATTCCCCTGTGCTCCATCTTTACACCACGGCTACGCACAGCGTGCGTCCGGCAAACCAGACATCGAAGTCAGCCCGGAAAAGCAACCCCAAAACCACGCAGCAGGGCAGCATCCAGCCAACCACCACCAGACAGAAGGCAGGACTACTTAGTTCATTACTTCATTTATGTTCCTTCCCCTCCAATTTGGCCACGCCACCAAGGGCACTGGGAATAAAAAAGATTGGTTCACACCCTCACGGAGAGGCAGAGCTTAATATCTGCAGGAAAACCAGTCCTGCTCCAGTATTTTCAGGAGGATGTGGATGAAGTGGCTGCAGAAGAAGCTCCCACCCCAGAAAGCCCTGTGGAACGAGCCCCCCGAGTGGTCCTACCTCGCAGGTCCTGCTGCGCGCGGGCGCCGGCCACGCTCTGCCGCGGCATCCGGAGCGAGGTCCGCAGGGGAGTGTGTCTCTGCTCGTCCAGGTAAGCGAGATCTTCTAGGTGGGCTGAGCTGGTAGCTGCCATGAGAAAGCAAACAGCTACATCACTCCTGGGTTTCAGATCTGATATTCTGGTTATGTCTTTTTTGGTTTTTAAACAAAATACACGGAGTTGTAACTACATTGAGTCAACGCAGCTAAGATGAACCAAGTCTAATTTCCCCTGGCAGGAGTAAAGGAGCGTTTTGGTAACGTTTCCTCATGCCCCATCAGTATTTGCTCTGGTTTGGTCTCCTGTTGATGTTCACAAATGGAGAACGGAGACACGGAGTCTCTCATATCTGATCTAAGCTCTCCCAATCACAAGACTTACTCATCGCGTGTGTGCAAAGCTCGACAGAAGCAGACGGTATCTCCTACTACACAAAAGACAACTCAACAGTGCATTTTAGGCTGAAGTCCACAATCTCCTCTTCAATTATTTTACAGCTACTTAGTTTGGATATTAACATTTATCTGTTCATAAAGCCAGAGTTAGTGGCAGGAAAATTAAACTTTCAACAGACCAGCAAAAATACACGAATAAAGGAGAAAAATGTTATCTGAACTAAAGGAGAGAACTTGACGATTCTGATGTTGCCCATAGGGAAGTTGAGTTTTCTTTACAATGCCAGATTAAATAGCCACCATTTCTTGGTCTCTGCTGAAGGTGCCACCGCTACACGAATAAGGGTGGTCAGAACAGAAACTGCAGCTAGAAAGTTTCTTTCTCTCTCTTGGAAACCAGCAGATAACACAGCACAAGTTATTTTTTATTCCATTTTTCAATGTAAGCACACGGAGCAGCTCACCGCTCGCCGAGCGGGGCAGGAGAATCCAGCGCATCGGTGAGCATGAAGGTACGACCAGCCCGACTGTGAAGGTATTTTTCTCCAAACTCCAATCAGTACAAGAAATAGCAACATTTTTTTTTTATATGGTGATGAGTGACGATTGAAAAAGAGGAGAAAATGCAGTTTAAACAATATAAATCCGGATCACTCGCATCTGAATTTATCCACTATTCTGCCATGGCAGAAGACCTGACGGTCAAGTAACTTACAGAGTATTATAAAACAAAGGAATGAAAACCTCCACTGCATGAAACAAGCTTCCCAATTATTATTCTGCCATGGCAGAACACCTGACAGTCAAGTAATTTACAGAGTATTATAAAACAAAGGAATGAAAGCCTCCACTGCATGAAACAAGCTTCCCAATTATACACAGAAAACTTAAAAAAAGCCTTTGCAGATCACCAGCTCTGTTCTTGTTCCGATAACCATTCCCACTTCCAAAATATCACAGTAAACATTTACCAGTGGGAATCACACTGCTCAGTGTTCGGCTGCTCAGTACTCTGCATCTGATGTTGCTTTGTTTTTTCTTTAGTTTTTGGCCATTTATGGTAACAAGATTATTATTTTAAATTGAACTAATTAATTAAATGACTTCTTCAAAGACTGTCTGTGAAGCTGATGTTAAATCTTCGCTGTGAAATGGGTAAGTATTTTGATACAGCTCTCCAGAGCAGCTCACCGCACTGGGCTTCGCATCCTCCCTGCCTGCCACCCAGCACCAGACGTAACAATTCAACAAAACTGAACGGCAGAAAATTTCAAAACTAAGAGAAACATTTTTTTTTTTTTTCATACAACACCTAATAACCACGTAAAAATCTTTACAAGATTAGTCAAAAACTAAGCAAGATTCAGAGACTGTCACATGGGGCGCGGAGAAGGGGCTTAAATTTGGCAGCAATTCTAAACGCTGTTCTTCAAACTGCCTGAAGTCTCTCTATAAATTTTAAGGAAAAAAATAAGAGAAAGACAGAGAGAGACAGCAGACAAAACAGGAGTGAGGAAAAAAAAAGAGGTGATAAGCCCATCCAAGTCTGTTTTTGGAAGTCCTTCATGCTTTTTTCCTCTTGTGAAGCTGACGAGATGCTCGCTGTGAAGGAGCAGACTGGAGATGCTGCAATTAGAAAGGTGGGGCTGTAGCGGGGACGCGTGTTCCTTGCTGTGAGCACCATCCCCCTGCAGCACTGCCGGCGGGCAGCTTCGGGTCCTGCCCATGCTACGGTGGCACAGCCCAACGGAACGTGCCTTTGGCACAGAAACTTGTGCCATTTCCACCCGCTTTTCGCAGCGTAACTGAGCCAGAGGATCTGCAGCCTCACCGCGGCAACCGCGGGCAGAGCTGGCGTACCCCAGGGGGCTTCTCATTCAGGGAGACAAAGCCCAGGCACAGCTTGCCCAGGAGCCTGGCACCACGTCAGGCAGGTCAGACCTTCCCACTTGAGCCTTCATCCCACCGTCTGCACCGGCCACGCGGTCAGCGGGGTACGTCTATACGTCCGACGCGGTCACACGTGTGGATGCCAACTTTCTCAGGAAAAGTAGGACCTTAATAGATAACCTTTTCTTGGTAAATAAAAATCCCTTTTCACTTGATTGTCAGGCAACAAGGTAAAAACCAGCTGGCCAGGATGGCTTAGCACTGGCTGGTGTTTTTAGGATATGCTGAAAATGCACACCAAAACCAACCCAAATTCATCCTGGGATTGTTTAGAAAGGGAATATTCAGGCAAAGGAAACACCTTTAAAAAAAAAAACCCAACAAAATGAACGTCTGAATGCTTTTCTCTCAGATGTGTAAGTCTCACTGCAGTATGCTTATGAAGACCATTAAATTAGGATAAGGATTATCAGCCTTTCCAGGCATATCTTCCGCCCTTGAATGGGAGTTATTAACACGTCACACAGAGCTCAGCAGTTTTGCTGCATTAAGGCTTCGTCGCACACAATAAACAAACCTGCTGGCTGAAAGCACTACTGTTTTTTTTTGTGAAGAACCACACTTTTTCTTTACTGAATTTTGTTAAATATGCTCAGGAATTCAGTTCAAGTTACCCTGCTGAAGCTGCTCCTGCTTCTCTGAAAAAAAAAAAAAAGGAAGAAAACAAAACTTGCTGCAAGGAGAACTGAAGCACCCACAGCGGAGTACGACTGTGCGTGTGCTCCATCACTAAAAATACATATATATATATATATATATATATGAGACTCTGCGTGTATGTGGATCTCTTTCTCTACACACACATCAGCTGCTCAAGGACAAGATTTCCTCCCTCTAAATTCCATATTCAGTTCTGCTCCAGTCCCATTTTAATTCTATCAAGCACATACAGAGCCATCACGGATGACCAGAAACATTAATCTTGCTGGTAATTTCATGTCTTTATACAAGACCACTCAATGTAGTAACAAACTGATAAAAGCTCGTTTTTCCAATTTATATAACAACAGTTAAAACCAAAAATTATTTCTTCCCCAATTACTCACCGATAAAAAAGCTAAAATGTCTTATATTTGAAAACTCTCATTAGTTCTTGAATAGATAATCAGTTTTACAATCTGATTATGAGAAAATTTTTTTTTGACTTCCCATCTCCAGGAAAACACCCTCATAGGAGCCAATCTTACACACGCCAAGAAAACACCGCACTATAAACACGCCACACACCCAAGAAACAAGACCTGTGATGCTCCAGGGCAGTACAGAGCCTCTGGTTAATTGTACAGGATTGAAAACACCAAATTGTTATTCTTAAGAGGCACAGACCATACGCCAGACACAACTGGTGCTGCCCAACCCGTTTTCAACATGAAGCCAAGATTTCTGGATCTTAAATGATGGACAATTGGTCACCACAGCTGTCAATGCAGAGACAGACTTTGGAAACATCCTCAGAAAGTGGTTTCTGGACTGTGTCCACACCAGCTAGGTGCTAAAAGAAGAGTCAGCAACGTCGGGACTCATGATGGTTCTGAGGAACACGATTTTGCCAGCACTTGTTGGGTAATTACACAGCTTTGCTAATGCTGAACAACCTTTCAAAGCTGCTTTAATCTTCTAGGATGTGGATTTTGGTGAGCAAGACAGGAACGAAGCCTGAGAGCCGTTCTTCACGCTCCGCCAATAACAGAGGTCTACAGAGAGAAGCAGCCAGTCTGTTATTGCAAGTCAAGGAAGGACCATCACCTCCCCTCGCTCCAAACAGCAAACGGCGACGGCACGACGAGCCGGCTGTGCCGACACCGCCTCCCTGGCTCCAACTACTGCCAACAGGCAGAAGGGAGTTTCTGAAGCAAACAACAACTGAATGTTTTTCGAGTCCCTGCAGTACACGTGCAGCCTCCTGAAAGAAGAATTTTGTTCTGTTTCCTGGGACAATCTGCAATCCTACTGGCATTTTTTTTTTTCTGTTATTTATTTAAAGAGTTTGCATTTTGACCTCTGTCCTGTCTGTGAAACGAGAAGCCAGCTGCAATCCCAGATGTTTTGCAGGGATGGACTTCGTGTGCTGCCAGAGAAGAGCACGACAATGGCCAGTGGCCTCATTTATTGCTGGTCCTACAAGAAGTGAGGAGATATTCCTCAGCAGCCCAAAGGCAGGCTTTCTTCCCACCTTTATCATCATCTGATGACGATGATGAGACTCATACACAACGAACTGCAGCCAGCAGGAGCTGCCAGATCCATTTCACATTTTGCCACAGATTATTTTTGCAATTGTCAGTACAACCACCCTGCTATTTCTCAGGCCGATGAACTGAGATTTATCTTCCTGATTTAGAACTGAGGAATAATTAAAGAGATCTAAGGCCAGAGGAACTAGAAGCAATTTTTCCTGAGAATATGCTTCAGTACTTCAAAAATTATGCAAGACCAATCTATCTTAGAAAATATAATATTAAGCTGTTGAAAGCTTCCCCTCAGTTCTGAACCTTATCCTACATAATAAGACACAGCGACTGCAGATAAAACACAAGGGAGAAAAAAAGGACCTCCACAAAAATAATATTTGCTTATGCAGACGCAAATCTCCCAGGGAAACGGCCAACAAATAGTGGAAGATAGATAATTCCGTTTCAATGTAATAGCTGAATGACAAACACAAAACAACCTGACTTGAAATTGGTATTTGGTGGTCTGGGGACCGGGTGGGCTTTGCAGACTCGGTCTTCTCGGGAGGATGTTCTC